GGCTGCGTTCAATTGTTTTTTTGCAGCTGATATTAGCCGATGATCACAACAGTTTGATACCGCCACAAGAAGGAACAACCGGTATCTGAGAGACAGGCATTTGCAGCTGAGAACGGCTACAAGAACAAAACGCATCCATACAGACAGAAACTGGGCCAGTGACGTTAGGAGATGGAAGAATTTGGATTAATTCATACTGTAATGATCGGGTAAGAGCGAGTACTCTTACTCTCGTATTCCCGGAGGACAACATCATGCTGAAGTTGTGTGGCTGGTTGGTGGACTGCAAAGGCAGGTCAGGCCGGAAGTAAGGGCGCTGATGACAGGCAATGTGAAAATGAGCAGTTTTCACCTTTTTCAAAGCACTCATATGGGTTAAAGCTGTAAACTATTTTCAAATATTCAATATTCTTTCAAATGTTCGTTTTTCTGTAAAGGAAAATTCTTATATATGCAATTAGATGAATACTCCTCCTGAAAGCCACCATGAACACGCCCATAATTTGTGTACTTGTATCATCCCTACTGCTTTTGGCAGACGAAGCTCGGTTAGCGAAACAACAAGTACACTAGAAGTTGTCGGCCATTCTGCATGGCGTTGATGTGCTAATTATTTCAAAAAGTTTTGCCCAACGAGCCTGAAAATCACACTGACGTCAAATTGCGATCGATCCTGTGATGACGACCAATAATGAGCCTATGGCACGGCTTGCTTGGCGCCGGAGTTGAGTGAAAAGCCCCAGGAGAACTCGCGGATATGCGACAGTAATCTGCTGTAAACGAAGTGACAAGGAAAACGCATCTGCCTTGTATGAGAGTCTGATTAGTAGTGGAGGAGCAAGGGATTTCGGATGTTTAGGCAATTACTTGATGTGGCGTCATTCATTTTCACTACCGTGCACTATTCTAGTAAATCTTAACGGTAAACAACGTTCATTTATTTGTGTTCATCTATAAGCTTGTGATTATGTTGTTGATGCTGAGCGCATCACCTTCAGCCCTTTGCATAAGCAAAACGCCTCTGTGTTGAGATGTCCGCTGTATTCGCAGCTTTTGATATGATGCACCGGTTGCTACAACGTAAAGCGAACAATTCTTCTCCAAAAGCTGATCTGCCTCTACGTTGTTCTTTCATGTTGCGTGCTGGCCTTACGATCCAAGTTTACGTGTTTCAGACCCCCAGATGAGATTCTCGAACAGCGGAGTAACTAGTTTACGCTCAACCAGTCTGTCTAACATGGCCAAGCTCCGTTTTCTGATTTCCCCCTCTAATGAGATCCCCTACGTAGTCCTGTCATTTAACCCTTACAATGCGTATTTATTTTCTTACATATGCTAAGCCTTTGTACGCAGTTCAATTGCCAATTTTGACCTTTCGTTTGAACAATCCTGTTCATGCCGCTCCACAAAGCGGACATGATCGAGTTAACGAAGAAGCTGACTTTTACGTAAGGAACCATGTTTTCCTCAGCGCAAACATTGGATGGCTTATCTAAAGCAATGGAGACGAAAGCGACTCTCCTACTGAACTCTGATCGACTGGTACCGTCGTGAGATGACGGAACTCAGACAGTTGAATTGGTCAACTTCCTCTACCGTTTTACCTCACTGTTCCGGTTGTAGATCAGCTGTGACGGATGGGTCATTTATAGACAACGTTTGCCTTCCGGCGTTACGAAAGAGGCTGGCTTTCGCGCACATGTTTCACACAAGTCGCCGGAGCGCGTCCCCAGCAATGCTCAGCATGACAATATTTTCTGCGTCGACTCCGTGTCACAAAGTCTGGCAACGGCTGTGTAGAACGGCGTCTTCCCTCGAGAGTGAGAAGGGTCTGCGCCTGTGCCAGAATCGCCAGTGTTTTTCGCAACAGTCGAGAACAATTATGAGCAGCAAAGGTGATAGTACGTCTGCCTCTCGAACTCCCTGTCAATATGGGCGCGCTAAGGATACTTTCCTTCGACGTTAACTGAAGATATGCTTCCTGCATACATACATTCAAAACTGGAAACAGTATGTTCACATATCGCACATCGCGTAAATATGCGTTGAATCGAAAACATCTTAGAATTTGAAGAAAAAAACTGGTAAATCAAAGCAATCCGAAATCATCAGCAGAGTTCGATCATTTTAGGACGGATGAAAATTTGTTCAGGGCAGGAATCCTCCTCCCATCGTAATTCTTACGATGTCTCCTATCAGCTACATGCCGGCAGAACGGCTTCTCTGCACTGGAGAATAGTGTGATTCCACAATAGTTTAAACGTTCAGTCGCCACTCCCCTGTTAACCACAAAGACAGTTGCTCCATAATTCCATATTGCAGGAAATGCCTTGAGGTTCGCATCTGACGAAACAGGACAATGAGCTTGTTTACCATTTGCCTGCGAAATAAAAACAGCACAGCTACGTTACACGATTCCCTTACATTGTGAAGTTACTTGATCGATCTGCTGCCAAGCGTATGAAAACAGCTGGGAGAAATAAAATCTGATGACAAAAGTCACCAAGTGAGCAGTTTTTCCGTTCCTGTCAAGGGCTGAAATGGTTCAGCGTCGCAAACTGGTTCCTCCAATCTTCTTCACATCTGCGTAAAGCATCAGGATCACTCTTATATAAGTGACCGAGCGAACACGCCGTTGGACAGCTACGATGAACACGCTCTTGGTCTACTTGGTCGTCGCGGCACTGCTGCTGGCCAACGACGCTCTGTCGGTCAAAGGAGCAGGTAGGCGAACAGGGAGGCGGTTGACTTTCAAGATACAAATATGGCGATTTTTCAGAGATTTCCGGCCAGCGAGCAAACCAACGACGCCGACGTCAAATGTTCGGCTACAGCCCGTACTACTATAACAATTATGGACCAGGTTTAGGCTTGTCCGGCGATCTGATGGCTGCTGGAATGGGTTTGGAAGGCCTTGGAGAACTTGGATACGCAGCGAGAATGCTATTTTAAAGACATAAGTATTTGTAATGATGCACTCAAATAAGAATTGATGTAACGCCAAAACCAACGAACGATTTTGACGGTCTATCAAGTGTGTCTTAGTGTGTTTTAGTGTCGTTTTGTAGTTTATAGTGCTTTAATAAATGTCCGGTGTTGACGTTAATCTGGCTAACATAGATCAGCATTCGCTTGCCTGTGAAAATAAAACTCTCCGGCCTTAATTAACTACAACTCACTCCAAGACGCGGTTGCTTGACTGGTCTGTTGTTGAGCGTACGAATACGGACTGAGCAAGAAACGAAACAACTGATGACACAGTCACGCACTGAACCGTTCCCCTTCTCTTTGCAAGGCTGATATGGTCTTATTTTGTAAACTACCTTGTATAATTTTTTCTACATCCCCGCAGTGGTAATCATCCTCACATAAACAACTCGCTGAACATATTGCCCGAAACTGGCCATGTGCAAGTTCAGGGTTTATGTCCTGGTAGCGGCTCTGCTACAGGCTGATGGAGCTATGTGAGCCGGAAGAGATAAGCAGGAGGGGGTCGCTTGTTGGAGATGCCACAGTACTGATTTTTCAAAGCGTTCCGGTCAAGAAAACGCAACCGACGTCAAATGATGGGGTCTCCGTACCATTATAATACTTATGGACCGGAAATGGGTGTGTAACGTGATTTGATGGCTGCGGGAATAGGCTTATAAGATCTTCAACAGTTTAATATGCAACGAATACGCTGTTGTAAAGAAATGCGGTTAAAAATATGTAATTTCGCTGCACATAAGGGCAAGAGACGTGGCAACAGTGCCTATGAATGATTTTGACTGTTTGTGAAGTTATCTGGATTACTGTTGATACTCGATGAGACTTTTAATAAACGGTGGCGGTAAATGTTCATCCTTTCAACATAGACCAGTTAATAGTATTCGTTTGCGTACAAAAATAAAAACAAACGGCCTAAATTGATGAATCCGCAAACGAGACGAAACTGATGTGACGCCGTGAAAACTACAAATTTACGCCGACAGAATTAGGTGGAAAGCGAAATCGCCTGAGATACAGATCTACGAAGAGTTTTTCGCTTCGAAGACCGTTCCAGTGCAGCGTTCCAGACCGGTTCCGACCCATTTGTTCACGTCTCAGTGGAGGATAGTGCTTATATAAGCAACCGGCCGAAGATATCGTAAGAGGGCAACGATGAACATGGCTTGGATTTACGTGGTAGTAGCCGCTCTGTTGTTTTTGGACGGAGGCCGATCAGCCGAGGGACCAGGTAGACAAGAATTAGTCGGCGATTATTCGACACGTTCAGGTGCTGACCTTTTAGAAAATTCCTCGGCACAAATAAAACAGCGACACCGGCGTCAATATGGCATGTTTGGACCATTCGGTTACGGAGGGCCGGGAATGGGCATATCGCGCGATTTAATGGCCATGGGAATGGGCCTACAAGGCCTTGGTGAGCTTGGATATGCGGCCGATATGTTGTTTTGAATGCATGTGCGACAAAAATGAAGTAATTATATTACGCGTAAATGCGAAAATATGAGTAGCAAAGTATTTGATTGATTTTGACCGCTTATCAAGTACTCTAACGCCGTTGCATGTGCTTTGTTGTACTCTTAATAAATGCTTTCGACGAATGTTAATTCAGTCCACGTAGACCAGTTCGCAGCATCGTGTACCTGCATGAATAAAAACAGTCGACCTAAATCAATTAATGCTCAAATCAAACGAAACTGATGTCTCGGCTGT